ACAGGCAGCTTGAGACTGCCCTCTGTACAGCTTCTGATGGGGTGTTAATCACCTCCAGCAACTTCTCTACAACAGCATGGACCTTAGGATCATCCTGTACAAGAAGAAGACGTTAAAAGAAATTAAAAAAGTAAAAAGAGAGACCTTTAAATTTTAAATTTACTTCTAAGTGATTGCCAAAATCAAACCTTAGACAAATGTTTCGCTAATGCTCCAGTAAAGATCACCACGCCCTCACGTACCAAATCATATTTCTCTTCATCCGAGGCCTAAGAAAGATTATATATTAACTTTAGGAGGTTCATACTCAATCTCAAGTGAAAACTTTGATTTACAGCATATACTGACCTTTTTGTTCAAGTAATTTTCAAATATAGGAAACAAAAGTGAGACGTTATCTTTTCCATGTTTGTCAATGATCATGATACCAGCATTAATCATCCTTCCTCGAACATCAGCATTGGTATCAGCCTGTAGTTGAAATCATCAAAAGTTTGAACGCTGCATTTGTGTAATATCTAATCTAACTATCAAAAACTTTGAACAAAAAATTAAAACTTTACCAAGGCTCGAGATATCAAGAAAGTCATAACAACCGGAAGGTCTTTGGTTCTAAGTACATCAGCTGCAGCATGTAAAGCCAATGCAATCCCTTGTCTCCCTAACCAACCAGAATCAATCATATCCTCACCAACGCCACTATCACGGATATAAAGAGAGAACAAAGTCGCAAGAGATTCCTGCACAAACATCAATCTGTATGAGAACATATATATAACATATTTAAATGAATCAGATAAGAGTTGGTAGAAAATAGTAATCACCTGTAAAGTATCTGGGTACTCATCTAATACAGCAGCTAATGCATCAGACGCAGCCACACGAACATTATAATTCACATGAGAAAGAGCTCTAAAGAGTCCAGAATAATCAGTCCCAAATTCATGGTCATAACGATCCCATAAATCCTCAGCCACTTCAGCCACCGACTGCATTACCATATAATGTGGTAAAGACTTGATATAAACTAATGATTTCCATCTAATACATGATTAAAAAAAATTGAATCTTCTACCTTTTCGGGATCATGTAAGGCGATCCAAATGCTGGTTGCAATTTCTACATCTTGAGGAACAGAACGGCTGGATATAGCTGGAATGCACTTTGCAGCATTTAAACAAGCTAGTCTAACATGAAGGTCTTTCGCATAAACACCAGATAAAGCCTGAGGGTAGAAATGTCAAGAAAAGTTAGGCGTGTAAGGGAATCAAGAAAATATGATTACATTGCTAATAATTAAAATGCTACATACAGGTGCTACTTCTTCAGATTGCAAACCAAGACACAACTCATTTAATGCTGGTCCAACAGACCCTTGATAGGAGGGTATTGCCCCAAGCACGTGATATAGAACCTGCCAAGTAGCACAGAGTACCCATATGTTAAGCAAAATAGAAATAAAAAAGAAAAATAAGTAATAATGTGTAGATAATTAGAAACTTAACTGAAAGCATTTTAAGTCTGGGGAGGGGTAATATTGGATCCATATGTAGGAAAAGTATCCGAAGTACATCACCATGAAGCCGTGTCTTCTTAGGAGATGACAGTATTCTCTCCATTATCTATTGAACACAAGTACAAGAAACATTAGTCTTTCTCAAAATCTTATATTGATTAAGGTCATGTGATATGAATAATTAGTAATTCTTACCGGAAAAACAAAACTAAAAGAATCAACTGGAAGGGGGCCATATTTGCATGATACAGATAATCCATGCATTACTCTCTCAAACAGACTCAATGACTTGTCACTGTGACCACCCTCACCAAGTGATGAAAGTTGATCCCATGAAACATGAGGTTCAGTTGTGGCAATTAGCCTTAAGACAGTAGCAATGTCGAACCCCCAATTAGAAAGCGGAGGAGCAAGACATTTTGCTAGCTTCACCATTGTTTCATAAGCCACCTCATTAACTATGGGGGATTGCAGTAATGGATTCACAAATTTGACCTGAAATATAATCAGAAGTGAATCAGAATCGAGAAAGATAGCCAATCTTATATCTGTTATATGAAATATATAAAGACTAACCAGTGAGAGTAATTCACTGTGTGTGAAAACAGGATTAGCTATAGCCATTGCTCCTAAAGCTTTCAGTAACAAGGAAAGATTCTTCTGTATATTCATGACCTTCTCACGGACATTAGCTTCCTCATTAAGCTGCACCTCACGTGCCTCCTCTTTTGATGTCTTCTGTTTATCTAGATTAACCAAAAAAAAAAGCAAAATATAAATACATTTGCTTATGTTTAAGAAAGAGATAAGAAAAAATAAATCACTTGCCAGGCTTTTTTGTTGGTTTCCCTGCATCTTTCTTCCCCACACCAGCACGCTCTTTGCCACCAGTGTCTCGCCTTCCAGAAGAATTGGAGTTGCCATTTTCCTGAACATGCTTTATGTCATTACCATTGCTTAAGAAATCATATTAGAAGAGAATTAATGAAAATGTGATGTCAGTGTCATCACCATGTTGTCATTGTTCTCATAAGTCTTGAAGCGGCCTTTTGCTTGTTTTAAGTTATTAGAAGCTACAGACTCTGCAATATAAACGCCTTGCTCAGTGGATAGCATCCCTTCAGGAGTATGAAAAATCTGCATCAAATCATGAAATTATGAAATTCAAAGAATAAGGAAGGTTTTATTTTCAAGCATGACTGGTGTTTATATTATGCTCACCTGAATATCATTTTCTGATAGCAAATCATGTGCACCCCGATCAGGGAAACTCTTCAAGTGCTGAAAATGATCAAATGTCAAGTGATGTAAAACAGTAAAGTTGCTTTGAATGCCAAAAATGATCTCATTCTGAAGTTTATTGAGAAAGTTCATAAATAAAAACAAAAATTACCTTTTCAAATTCTGCATAAACTTCTGCAGGAGCTATGGTCATCAAAGTTGACAAAGCAAGTACAGCAGCTTCTTGTTCCAAATGACTAGTACTCATCAACCCCATTGGTCCAAGCAAACCCTATATATTATATTTATTCCACAATCAAGAGTGAATATCAGTCACACTAGCCATAAAACCTTAATCTTAAGAAAAAAATTACTCCTCCCATAAAATTTCCACAACCGTAGAAACTACAATTACCTTACACAAGTGACTGACATCAGCCATTATCTGTCCGATGACATCAAAACCATAAGCTCGCAAACACTTCTGCAATCTCTGATAAAAAGAAAATAAAAAAGGGTGACATAAGTCATCAGTATGTATAGACACCGGACTAATAGTAAAACACTTAATGTGTCCAACCAAACATTTCATTTACTCTGTGCACCAAATAGAACCACTGCTATAAGAGTTAGCTCACCTTCCAAACTGCATCTTTTTTTGCTGTGCCAACTAGGCATGGGTGATGTGAGCAGAAGATAAGGCGTATGCATGAACTAGGTGCAGCAGCCATAACACCGGATGATATTACCATTAAAGCCTTCACCAAAACCTCCACAGATGGAACAAAACCAACTTGAGCATCCAATGAATTTTCTGTTTCACTATAAATTACATAGTTAAAAATCAATGTGTATTATTTAAACACAAACCATTGATGAAGTTAAAAACATAAGAATTAGTACCTTAACTTTGCTAATACTTTTTCCCCAACAACTGTGAGGTGCTCTGAATATTCAACTAGAAGTGTCTCAAATAGTTTTGGAGCAGCAGATAGAATCTTTTTGGTACAACCATAAGCTGCTCTTCGTACATCCCAACTTGAATGACACAGAAACATAAGTAAAAGCTGCGGTATAAAAAACCAGGTTATAATAAAGATTTTATACTGATAAACCAAATTTATGATACAGCTTCATAGTAATTCACCTGCATGAGTGATCTCACATTAAGAGTCTCAAAAACTCTGCAAAATAGGTAATGGTGATTCTCAGCATTAATAAAAATAATCAACATGGCTAAATGTTGCAGAAATAAAAAAATAAAAAAAAAAATAAAAAATAACCTGTGAGCATGATCCATAAAGAGTGTCTCAAGTAACTCGATAGATGTTTCACAGTCCTCCACTGATAGTTTCGAAACCTAAACATCAATCACATTAGATAAAAGGTAAAAACTACAACAAATGTGCATCTATTAGCTAAAAATAAAAGTTACCATAGCTACAGGGACAACTGAAGGCTCATTCTGTGAAATCAAAGACAAGACCTTTTCCTTCGACACAGTTTCATCTTCAGAAAAGAAATTCAAAAATTAGTATTTTGAACAACCACTTTTAGCTGTCAGTGGATATAAGCAAAAGAAAAAAAATAGAAAAGAGGTTAAGAGTACAACTAATAATAGAAATCAACACCTGCTTTTATATCAGAAGCTGCAATTTTCATCACAATCAGTAATGCATAAATACCATCCAACCGTTGTGCTGCTTTGGTAAAACCAGTTTTTACCAGCTGTATAAGAGGCACGAGCAAAGAAGATATCTGGTAGCAAGCATCACAAAAACATCAGCCACATGAAAACATTCGTGAAAAATATATTCAGATATCAACATTCAACACTAGTTAGTAAACTTAGTTTCCTTACAGGCAAAACTGCATCAGCATTTTTACATATGACTCGTAGGCATCGAAGATAACCTCTTCTTAGTGATTCCTTCTCCTTGAGACCTGATGCAATAAATGAAACAACTTCTGGCCTAATAGCATCTATAGATCTTGCAACCCAAGAAGCTAAGGCAGTCAAACATGCAAGTTTTACCTCCTCATTTCCTGGAAGTCAAAAAGTCAATCAGATAACTGTACAAGATCACGTACAAACACAAAGAAAGTATGTAGTATGCACCCACCATCATCCTTGTAAGTGGTCAAAAGAAGTCCACAAACAGATTGAGACAAACTACTAAGATATTTCCCTTCAGGACATGTAGACAATTCCTGAATGGCATTTATCATGCCAACTCTCTGGTATGGAAAAGCGAGTCTTCCTTCAGACCCCTCCAATTATAGATTTCACAGAACCAAACATTGACTCAGCAGCATCAGGATTACTTGACTTTTGACTTAAACATTTGACAATATCCAATGCAGCAACTCTTCTTCCTTCATCAGCATGGCGAGCTTGTGATAATACCACTGACAGAATCTCAACAGCATACTTACTCAAATCCAGGTTAACATGTCTCAAAAGAACCCCAATGGATTCCAAAACAAGCTCAGGGTTCCTTTTTAGCATCTTCACAGATGAAGGAACAATGATATTCTTAAAGTCTTCGTGTGAGAGAAACGGAAAAATAACGCACGGAAAGCTTCACTTAGAGCTTTTGAAGGCTTATCCTTTGTGTTCAGAACTGATTGCACATACATATCAAGATACACTGGCTTCCATTGATCAAACAGTGATGGTTTTGAAGTTGAAAAATCCAACATTACACATAGCATCTCTGGACAATTTTTATATGAGATTCTTCCACCTTTTAGTTCCTCCATGTACAAATTGAAAATATCAGGCGACTGAAAAGCATGGAAGAAAAACAAATGAAGAATTAATAAAAGAGGTATTATAATCAAGCAAGATGCATAGATAAGGTTCACTGTTCATGTCAGTTGTTGGAAACAAACCTCTAAAAAGGAATGAATAAAAGCTTTTTTGCAAGCCCTGCGTTCATGAGAAGACCCTTGTATGCTAATTTGAAGAAGTGAGGCTTGTGCTGCTGAAACTCTGCTAAATGCATTCTTTGATGCGGAGATAAACTGAGTTTTACAAAGAAGGATGCATGACCAGCTCATAAGTCTAGAGCAGCCAACATGAGACTGAACCTTCAACTGTTTATCCATGACTTGCACAAGAGCTGCTGCAAATGTTTTCATAAATACAACCTCACTTAAAGATTTTATGATTAAATCATCCACGGCTTTCCTTGACCCTCGGTCATCATAAATATACAATGTCGTGAATATTAAATCCACCAGTTGTGATGCTGAATCTGATGACATCTCTGCATAGTGAAATTGAGTAAATGTTTAGACAAGTAGAGAAACAAACAGTTAAAGATGGCAATAATTGTGGCAAAAGACACAGACAGGGCACAACTTTGCTCGAAAGTAACATTAACAAAAATAAACAAACGGACATTTACATTTCCTAAATTCAAGTTGCATACGAAGATAATACCTTCCTAGATTATCACCAAATAAGAAGATAACAATATAACATATCAAATGAAAATCAAGGAAGCATATAGGTCCAAGTTAAAGTAGAATTAGCATGCAATGACCTGAATTAAGTAAGATAGAAGGAATCTCGTTGCGAAAGATCCGAATCCGCTTCTTTGTAGATGAAGTCGGGATTGAAGATGCAAGTGAAACCCACGGCTCCATTGAACTCGGCAATCAAATAACTGATCCTTTTCAATCCAATATAATTTTGAAGATGATCCAGCTTACAAACGTCAGTGAAATGTTCTAAGATAGGTTGGGGTGATGGTGTGTTGTATTTGGACTATGGCGGATGGTTTGTTGTTTTAGGGTTTTAGTAAGCCAATTACGAGAGTGAGCAAAACCAAACGCACTGGTGTGCCCCAGCCTCATGCGCCTCATTTCTCTTTTTCTTTTCTTTTTTTCTTTTTTTTTTTATATAATTAGGGTATTTGACATCAAAACATTATAAAGTCTTTTGGCTTAATCGGTCCCTCGTTAACTTTTTTGTTCTTTAAGTCCAATAAACTAAGAAATAACTTATTAAAAAGGAGGAAATAGAAGGCAGGAAGGCCTTGGTAGTTTTTCCGTTAATGGTAAAAGGTTGTCACATAGGCATCATAAAAAATTTTACAATTTTTGTCATATCTTGCTTATAGTGGTATTTATATTAAAACTAAAAAAGAAAAAATATTACGATGGCCAATCAGGAAATAAGAAAATGTTTATCATTGAGATTTGACATCGGTGGAAATTCACTTATGAGATTTACCATTGGCAAAAAAAATGTTAGGGTGTGATGTTCACTACAGGTAAAAGTGTCACATAGGCTTTTACCATCGGTAACAGCCTCCCACACCGTATAGCCTTATACTCGATTTCATTGTTTCAAGATAAGTCAACAATTTAGATAGATATCAACTGGATTAATGAGGCCACGTAAATACGCATATGCCCTGTGTCTTAACCCTCACGATATTAAACATATACACCATGGGTTTGAGCAACTCACTCTTGAAATATCATTCCCCTTTTACGAACTTCTCTAAATAAAATGGCATTGGTATCTTCTTTATCTGACCATTTGCAATTTTGTCTAGTGACGAGAGTCCCCCACCTTGCTTATGTCCTACACAGCCTCGTGCAAAACGACGTGAATCATTGAATGATATTAATCCCTCCATGTGTTTTTCAACTACGCAAAGTATATGGTAAGCTCTAACTCGACTCGAAGCTACTACATCATGTCGTTAACTAAACCCCTACTTTTGTTTTAAAAAAACTAATTTCATAGTAAAAACCTTAATTCCGATAATTAAAAAAATGCTTTTATGTAGATTTCTCCCAATAGCTTGCTTTCTTCAAGAGGTTAGACCCACAAATGAATCAATATTACAAAGAAACTATTTTTGGCTTGAAGATGATGGTCAAGAACATGACTAACATTATTAGGCTTCAACAGAAGATGGAGAATCACAAAAGGCATCACATTTCTGAAAGGGTATACTTTAAAGAGGAAGCACATAAGTTTGTTGCTTGTATCCAAAAATTGTAGAATGAGGTGAACACTTTGAATAAGATAATGAAAAATATGATGATGATTGCTCGCGTCTATCTGTTGGGATTTGTACTATACTTTAAAATGGTTTAGTAGTGCAAGTTGGTGGGGCTTCATGAATGTTGGGTAGTTTTGTGTATTGACAAAGGTTAAATGGAACATATGTTATTATTTAATGATGATGTTAGGTGTGAATCTTCTTTTGGGGGACATACTACTTGGGAATGGCTTAACTTTTGTAAACAAATGTCTTTGGATTGGCATCATTTTGTAAATACATCATAAATACATCAAGTTTCCAGAATAATGGCAATGCATGGAATTCTATTTAGGATCCCTTATGTTTAACAATCATATTGTTTTTACGGTCCCATTGCAACTTTTAATGCATAGAACAAATAGAGGCACAATCTCTAATAGATTCCACAGTAAACTACTCTTATTAATATATAACAAGAGTTACAATCAATATTGCATGACTACATCATTCTAAGGCCACAAAAACACTCTAAAAGTAGATGGACAGAGAGGGGATATGCTTAAACTATGAAGATGAGGTTGGGGTTTGCTCCTAAGGAGCTCTAGATGAGTTGGGGGTTGAAAATAACCTAAAACACATAACAGTTCCTTTAATACAAAGCAAACCATAATTTTATTCTTTCAAACTTTAAACAACCACTTCTTTGTTCCAAATTCGTTGATCTTTATATGCACACAAAAGTATTAACAATCCCCACAATCCAATCTAATTTCTTTTGACTTAACATATCAAACTAAATTCATTAACTCATACAAAGAGTCACAAATATCACTTTTCCTATTTTACCCTTTGGCTCCAATTTACACTTTCATGGGCTTAAATCAATTAACCAACATTATTAACATCTAATAAGGTCTAAAAAATTCCCTTGAAGCCCAATACCTTTGCTCGATCAAACTACAGTCCATTATCCCAAAACTAGATGTTACATGATTGCACTAAAGAATGTCATGGTCTATTAAAAATATAAAAGAACTTGTATGCATTGTTTCCCCGACATTTATTTGAAAATTTAAATACTTTTGTTATCATCAATCAATATCCTTACATTGTCAAAGAAAACATCCATTCATCCAAATTGTGTTTAACAAATGTGAAACATCCCAAAATACGACCCAAGTTTTTTTGTTTAAGATTATTACCAAAAACTATGAATATCAAACTTCACATCAAAACATAAGTCATGTATTGCGAAACATCATAAAAAAAATTGTCAATGTATCCAGACATGTATTAAATATCAGAGTAAATATCCCAGGTTGGAAGCTATGGTGTGTGTCATGCGATCACCCCGAGCCATTCCCTTTGCTAGCTAAAGTACATGAAACCAAACTGAAAACTGTAAGCACGTAGCTTAGTGAGCTCCCCCAAACTACCACATACCATAATATATATATATATATATATATATATATATATATATATATATATATATATAACAAATAATACAACTATGGGACACCGCCCAGCTGCATCGGGACGAACCCGATATCGGCTTACCCAGCATCGGACTCCTGTCTAGCATCAGGCTCACCCCGACATTAAACCACGTCTGACATTGGGCTCACCGCGACATCGGGCTTACCGCGGCACATACACAACATATCATATAGCATATACATATAACATAATCATATAACTAGATTGCATCGGGCTTGCTCCGACATCAGGCTTGCCCCGGAACACATAACACATAACATAACATATAACATCTAACTGACATGCATCGGGCTTGCCCCTGAACACATAACACATAACATGCATGAATCACAAAGACATCAAGCATACATATACTCTTCTCGAGACCGCCCTGGCATCGGACCGAAATCCGGAAACATATAATCTGCATCGGGCTAACCCCCGCATCGGACAGAAGTTCGGCATACTCGAAATACATAAATGGGCCAATATTGGTGCGTTCGGCCCGTTCTTACTGGAGGAAAACTCACCTCGCAAAGTTGTCTGTGAAATCTCATGATGAGGAAATCTGATAGCTACTCCAACATCTCCCCGACTATCAATAATACTTAGTCAATATCTAAAAATCCTTCTCAGGATAAAACGACCATTTTTCCATTGGTCAAAGTTAACGCTCAGGTCAAGGTCAAAGTCAAGGTCAACTCCTAGTAAACCCAACCCGCCGAGTTATATGTTAACTCGTCGAGTTCTATGCTATCAGACCCGTGATAACTGAGTCAACTCGTCGAGTCCCCTCGCAGACTCGTCGAGTTATATCTAGTACAAACTCGAGACAAAACGAGTAAACTAGTCGAGTCCCTTCATAGACTCGCCGAGTTCTTCAGCTTCTTAGTATAGATCTCGTCTATCTAGCTGAGTTACTTACTATCTCAACGAGCTCACTCGAAAACAAAAGAGGTTTGGGGACCATGACTCGACTCGCTGAGTCATATGAACAACTCGCCTAGTCCCTTGAATGCCAAAGCCATACAGTCGATTCTAACCACTTCCAATGCTTCCATCTCACATATCTGGACTCCCTAGGTTAGCATAACATGTAAAGTTGCTAACTTTACATACATGCATGGTGTTATGAAGTTAAAACACCAAAACTAAGCTAGGATGAAGACCTAATGCATGGAATGGGGACATGGCTGAATAAAACGTGGCAACTTTGAGCTTTTAGAGCTCAAGAGTGCCAATATTTGAAGTCCTTACATCCCCAAAAGCTCACAACTCGTAAATGGCCCAAAAATGACAACATGCAACCCTAGAAGAAGATCTAAGTGAAAATAAGCCAAGGTATAAGCTTTATACCTTCAAAGGGTCTGAAATGCAACACAAGCTATGGATCTACAACTTCTTCTTGAATCACCAAGGTTCTCATTCCTTCTTATAACTTCAAATCACACAAAATGGCAAGAAACTAGCTCAATAACACACAAGGTTGATTAGGGTTTCGAGAGTGGGTTGTATATGTGATGGAGGCAGGGGTGGAGGCCTGATATGATGCTTAAATAGGGTGCAAACCCTAAAGATTAGGGTTTCCTCCTGACGGACCTACTCATCAAGTCAAGGCTTTCGACTCGTCGAGTAGACCGCTTAAATCATGCGTCCAAATTGGCATTTACTTGACGAACTAGGGCTACCAACTCGTCTTACAAAATAAATACTTAAATAAATTAGATGCGTATGAAGAACGGGACGTTACAATTCTCCCCCCACTTGTCTTAGACTTCGTCCCCCGAAGTCTGATGTGTCTGAAATAGGGGTGTAAGTGAGACAAGCCAACTCGTGAGAAACTCGAGATCGACTCAAAAAATACTTGAAATCGACTCGATCTTAATGTTAGATTAGTGTCTAAGTCCATAACTATTTTGGTATGTACTTGACCCGATGGTGCAGGTCCTTTTGGGTTGCCTTCACCAAAGCAACTTGATTGGAGAAATATATAGAGAGAGAGGATAATATGATTTATTAATATGTTATAAGAATAATATATTAAAGGAGAAATCATATTTGTTTAATTAATATTGGTCAATAATTAATTAGGAATTAATTTTGTGATCAATTGTAATTAATTAAACTAGAGGGGCTGATTTGTAATTATGTGATAGTTACAAAATAAGGTAAGGATTATCTTAAATATAGGGTGAACGAATTAGAGGTGATAAGGCCTTAGAATTCGACTATGATAAGGATTCAAGGATTATCTTATGGGTTGCTTTGTGGATAAGCAACTAGATAAGGATAATGACTGAAACCCTATCTTTACACCTATATAAACACCCCTTGGCTCATGAATTCGTGGATCCCTTCCCAAGGAGTCCTAAGGACGAATTCTAACCTCTCTCCTC